AGCATCAACTCATGCAAAAAAGGCACACCCATGAACCCGTTTAATGTTAACCAATTTTATCATTGTTATACTTCTATTATCTTATACACCCAAATGAAGCAAAATTAATCATTGCCTTTCATTTTTGACACCCATAAAACTTGCTTTTACTCTGTCGCGAAAAACAAAGGAGAGCTTGGAGTCCACAAAAACAATACACTAATGACTCGTAATAAGTTTCACCCTTTTCTGATTTTCTCGTAACCAAGACTCATAATAATTTTTTTGTGGGCTAAAGGGTCAAATAGACCTTTGAATTAACTTAAAGTGTTCAATTAGCCCTTCATATAGAAGGTTCAGCCGGCCATCGCCAATTGGGGAGGTTCCTGGTGGAATTTTTTGATGAAATTTTGTGAGCATCTTCCTCATTAAGTCTAGTTTACCCATATCAAATTTCACCTAAAAATTAAATCGGGAAGGCAGTCAAATGATTTTCCGAAATGTACTACGCTGTTTAACTGCACAATTATCTTCAAAAAATCATTTGCTTGGCTTCCCGGTTGAATTTTTAGCTGAAATTTGGTATGAGTAAACTAGACTTAACGAAGAAGATGTTCGCAAAATTTCATCAAAAAATTCTACCGAGAACCGACCCAATTCCCAATTGACGACAGCTGGGCAGAACCTCCTATATAAAGGGCTAATTGAACACTTTAACTTAGTTCAAGGGTCTATTTGACCCTTGAGCCTTTTTTGTGAAGACAAATCCATCAAAAAATAGCAATGAAAGTAATAAAAAAATAAGGAATTCAAAACATGTGATATTTTTAGGTCTGTGATTGAATGTCTTCAAACAACACTTTTATATTTTTTTCAAATCCTTATTTATTTCTATTGATTTTAAATGATTATCTAATCTTTTTGCAACTTCTTTATATTGGAGAAATTTATTATTGTTGTTGTATAATCATTATTTCGGGGAGGGGGGATGCAAGTTGTCATGCAACTACTTTATCTACTCTTGTATTTAAGATTTAAGAAAGCATATCAAGAGTTACTTGGTCCTTGTCCCGCTAAAGAAACACAGTAACATCTTATCGACAAGTACTTCTTACATACGTAGTACAAGTATAAAATCATGATCGTAGCAGAGATATTCACTTAGTTTTTTGAACATGTCTTAGGGAGAAATCAAAGAAAAGATTAACAACTTCAAGCACAAGGCATCCATCAATAGTCAATAGCATCATGATTAGTTACTTTATGTCACTTTTCTTCACTTTTGCACCTTCAATGGGTCCCTCATTTGTTTTTCCCTAAGCATCTTAAGTGTCATTTCTTCATTCTTTCTGAAAACACTAATGCTAAAACTATCCCATTTTGTACACTATTTTGTACCCCCTCCTATGTTTGTGATTCACAAAAGCAATAAGTAAAAATGGAGCAATTATTTTAATTGGGTTGGATTTTTGTGAACCACAAATATAAAATGAGGTACAAAATGGGGTAGAAAATGGGGTATCTCTAGCATTTTTCTTCTGAAAATGTCAACTAAGTCCTCTTTCTTTTTATACTAAAAAATTCCATTGAACATCAAGTCTCATCTATTGAGTATTAAAAACTCTGCATAAAAAATTATATAGTATCAAAACATCTGATAAATATCCCACACCGGAAAATTGAGAAGCATTAGAGTGCTATAATAAGCTTCGGGCTACTCCTCCTAACAGGTTGATCTTTTAGGATGGAACCCCAAGTCTTAACATGGTATCAGAGCCAAATCGATCCATGGTGTGGGGCCCCTTTATGAAAAAATGACGAACCGATGAAAAATGAATGACGACACGATGTAGACGAAGTGTCTGGTCGTGAGGAGGGATGATAAATATCCCACACCGGAAAATTGAGAAGCATTAGAGTGTTATAATAAGCTTTGGGCTACTTACTCCTCCTAATAGGTTGACCTTTTAGGATGGAACCCCGAGTCTTAAAGCATCTTAATTGAGTATTATGTTCTAGACTCTTTGAACATTAAAACTATGTGAGAAAACATCTTCGTTAATAACTAAGCATTGTAACTCTGTATTGAGTATCAAAGAAACTTCATTGAGCATCATCGGCTCTACTATTGAAAATTGAGAGTGTATGATCAGCTCTAATATGACCTTCACGAGATCCAATTTGACATGCGACAATCGCATGAGTCTTTGTCACTAGGAAGAGTCGGTGAGTAGAAGCATTTGCTGCGAGACCAGCGTGTGGTCATCTCAGTGTGAGCAATGAGCCTCGAACGAATCAAGCATCGCTTATGAAGCGAAAAAGAAATAATTAGAGTACAACAAGTGGAAATATGCTCTTTATCGGGCTACGATGTTAACGGAGGAAGCCCGTTCTTCGCGGTGATGCTGCCGGTGAAGGTCGGAGTTGAATGGCTCGAGCATGTAGTGAAACTAAAATTGGGGAAGAGAGGATTTTCTTTTAGTCTCAAAGTCGAATTATTTAAAAAGAACTGATTGCATTGTCCATACTCACAAGATATCACGAATTTTGTAACACGTAATATAATTACATGTGCAAACCGCACATTTTCCTTCCATGAACTCAGTAATAGTCAGCCAATAGCAGATTCAGTCAGCGGGTTTGACTAGATAAATAATTTGGCGGTTTGTTAGAAGATTTTGGTAATTAGTTGTTTGGTCATAAAATTAGTAGAAAACTCCATATCTTAAAAAGTAACTTGAAACTCTCCTATTTGTAGCATTTTCATTTCAGCATTTCCATCCAAAAACGCTAGTGTCGAACAATTATTAGCAAACAATTATTCCACTTATTGAAAATGCTAAAAGTGATCTAATCATCATTTTTTGGGTAGAAATGTCATCTACCAAACACCACCATAATCCTACTTATAGAAATGGAGGGGAATCCATTATACGAAGTACTGCGTATTACTTAATGCTTGTTGAAACTGAAATCGTATGCGACATTAGAGTTGCCGGATGACAAGCTGTCAAGCTCTGAATACTCAATATCTAGTGTTTGTAGAGAACATTAGTTATTCTATCGAATAATATTTTTTGTTTATTTTATTGATAAAATATATTTAAATACTACATTTCTTTTTTTATTTAGCCTCATTAACTTTTCTAGACAATGAGAGTAATCTTTAATTAGTTGTTTTAACATCTATATTTTATTTAAAATTATAAACTTTATACTTCTATTATTGCATTTATTATCAAGAACATTTTCATATCATTTTAAATATGTTTGTATATGAATATATTATTGATCAAAGTTAAGCATGTTTGACCAGAAAACTAGAAGATGCCTAAGCAAAATGGGACAGAGCAAGTATAATTTTGTTTTTCATAATTCAATACAATTAGCCAATTCAGCTACAAATTTCATCAATGTCAAGATATTTAGAACATTTCAGTATTACCAAACGGACTCAAAGGCTTGTCAAATTTGATCCGTGTATATTTCATACTGTATCCTAGGCTTGGCCCGGGTCCGGTCCGACCGGCCCGGGAACCGAACCGGCCCGCCACTGTGCGGACCCGGTCCGGCCCAGTAAACCGGTACTGAGCCTAGGCCCGACCCGTGGGGTTTATGGGGGCGGGTCCGGGACTTGATTTTTGGGGACTGGCCCAATCGGTCCGGGCATTTTTTTGTTTTTTGTTTTTTGTTTTTTGGGGTTTGGGTTGGGTTTAGGTGGGCTGGGGTGGGTGTTTTCGAGGGATATGGGGAGTTGGAATAAATAAGATAAAAAAAATAATAATTAAAGAACCGGCTCGGTATCGGTAGACTCCCGGGCTGGTGTCGGGCTTCACCCCAGAAATCCAAAGTCTGACCGGGCCCGACCCGGAACCGGACCAGGCCCGGTCCATGCCTACTCCATCCATCTCACAAAACTTAGTCAACTCTGTTTTGCACTTGGAATAACAAAATAAAACCAAGTGTGATTGGAATTGAGGAAAAGAAACCCTTTAAATAGAATGGATAAACTTTTTTAAGACAACTAATGAAAGAAACTCGGCAAAATTTTATTAGATAAGGACAATCTTATGATCGATCTATAGTTGTGAATTCAAAATAATCCAATACTCCCTAAAATAAACCTTGAGGGGTTAATTCATTCATAGGAGTAGAATGCAAAAAAATGGGGAATTTCATGAAATGAAAGAACATGGATGCTTTTCCCCATTTGGCGTTTTCCAACTGCTGCATGAGGCAAGAAGCACACAGCCCAACGGTTCGTTTTTCCAGCTGTTTCGCATTCTCACCGACCGCACAACTTTAATGAACCACTCACCTCTCTTCACTTATTCAAAACAATCCAATATAATCCAATTTTATTATTTAATTATTGGTCTAAAATATAAATAAGAAGATCAAAAAAGAAAAGTACGAATCTTAGAAAGGAGTACACGAAAATGAAGTTTTTGTATTTGTATAAATAATTATGAGAAAAAGGAAAATATATCTTGAACTTGTGCATGCGAGCTCGTTCAAATGCTATGTGGAATAATTTAACACAAATTTTTATTTTTAAATTTGGAACAAATACACATTTAAATTACATACGGGTATTAAATTACATACGGGGTATAAATTCATTCTTTAACATATATATCGGCAGTATCATTGATACTCTTAATTATTGCGTAATTAGACTTATTTGACATCATGTAAAATATACTTCCTACTTGATACGGAGTAATTTATTATAAAAATTAACTCACAGCTCAAGTGAGGAAGAGTTCCGAAGCAGTGTTGGAGAGTTATTCATTGTTAATTAATGTCAACCGTATCACCATTTTAAAATACATAATATTTGCATTTTTCACTTTTGTTCTATTTTCATGACTTTCACATTTTTTCCAGTTCATACATTATTTAGTATTTCAACCTTCTTTTCTATGAAAATCTAACAAATCAAGGAAGACGGTAATTCCTACATCCACTATCCGGGCACGCACCAAAGTTGAATCTAAAAATAGGTCAATAGGGATAAAAAAAAATTACTCTACAATTCATATGATAAATATTTATTAAACCATGAAAATCTATACTACGAATAACTTTTCATCTTATAATAAAAATCTAGACCATATATTTATGCGAAGTTTGGAAGCTACATAAACAAAATACTCCGTATTAACTTATTGTTTTACAAAAGAATGTGCCGACAAAATATAAATACGGAGTAATAAAGAGATTCACGGGCGTGGTAAAAATACATGACATGTCGGTGGAACGGGGAAGCACGCGGTTGCTCCGCCGATGGGCCCGCCGAGAACTTTCTAGAGTGGAGAATCGGATTCTCCGGCTTAGAAATTGGCGATTTTCCGGTGAAATCTATGCTTCGAGCTCATCCGTCCGTCAATCTCGCGGAGGTTTCTCAAGCTCCGAATCGCCAGAACGTCTCCTTTCTCAATCTCCAAAACTCCATGGAGATCGGCAATGCCTCCGGATTCTGCTTCAATAGCACCTAATCCAAAACTCTCAGCGCCTCAAAACGAAAACGATGGACAAACATGTGAATTTCAAAATTGAAATCGGCATTATACCTTTAGGCTTCAGGAATGGCTTGAATCCATTAAACTGAGCTAAATCTGTTACAAAAATACACTCAAAATCCAGCAACCGTTCACAAACGAAATACAGAGAATCATGTAGGGGGGAGGGGGGTTACCATTCTCGGTAGGTCGGTGAGAGGAGAGGTAAAGGACGAGGAAGCAGAAGACGGTGAGGAGCGGGATGAGGTGGACGTACTTCTCGGCTTTGCTGACGCGCTTCAGCGACTTTCGTCCTTCGCCTTCGTCGCAGATGGAATGGGATGACTCTGTTGCAGGCAGGGCGGCTGGAGAGCCGTCGTCTCGCCCGCCGACGATAACTCCATGAGCGTTGAGGTGCTTTGATGCCGGCGAACCCAGAGATTGCCTATGCATTACTCTAGAGAGAAACAAAGAAGTAAATACGGTAAATATTATACGGACTATGGTCTATGGAGTAGCAGTAAACCCGTGTTTTGCCCGGCGTTGCCCACGGATAGAGTACCGATAGACTGCGGTAGTTTAGACTAAATAGAGTGATGAGGTATTAGAATTTTTGGAATCCTAATTGTGTATAGTGGTAGTTTAAAAGGATATTAAAAATGGAAAAGGGGATGAAGGGTTTGGTGGCATGGTTGGGACAGTTCATTTTCAAAAATGATATTTATACTCACTTTTATTCCATCATGTTTTTGCAAGATTTTTTTTGTGTCTGTGAATCTCGTATACTGACAAAATCTGTTTGTGCAAATTTTGCACAGACAAAATAAGACATATTTTGTCTGTGATCCGGATTTACGGACAAAAAACATTCATAGACATGATGGATAAGATAAGTATAAGTGTGAGTACACAATAATGATTGATTCATTTTACTCCCCTTGTATAAAACTTAGAGCAGATTTCAAGTATTGTGAGTGTAGCTCACCTGGTAGCAAGAGAGTGTCACACAAGAGAGATTCGGTGTTCAGATTAAATCAACAACTTGAATGAAATCTCACTTTCTTTTCCAATTGAGCGTGATCAAAGCTCAACTTACATAAAACTAAGAAATTTGACGCGTATAAAACTAAGAAAAATCTAGTAAGTAATGGTAAGCCATTCACTTTTCAGCTTATGAGTCATCTATATCTATGTATGGATCATTCTTGGTGTACACAAGTTGTACACAAAATGTGTACATTGTCTGTGTACACAGACAATTTGACATCAAGTACTGCCCTTTTTTAAACTAATTGCCGGTGTACACATGCAACTAGGGGGTTTTGTGTATAACTTGTGTACAACTCATGTACACTAAACATTTTCCATCTATCTATGTATACATAAAAGCAGAGTACATTTTTCCCCCGCCCGTAGCCATTCCCGTTTCTGCATCGTCCATTTCCGAACTCTCTAATTTCCGATTCCCACCCCTCTGCTCGCCTTCCCCTCTCCCATCTACTGGCCTTCTCCTCTCGCGATCAAGCAAGCAAGATGATAGTACCAATCAATAGACAGCCGCTAATCTGCCATGTGCGAATTTGGATCAATAGACAACCGCATCAATTCCTAGCAGATGGACGCACACATCAAATCCAAAGAACGCTTCATCTGCCATCCGCTAATTGGAATCAGGACACAGCCACTCATCTTCTCATCTGCTACTTCGGGCCAAGCTTCATCCATTGTTCATTGTGAGAGCCAGTGGGTGCTATACGGATGTTGCTCTCATGAAATTCACCAGGTTCTCCATAGCCCCCTCATCAACTTCTCGCCCTTCTCACGACCATTCTTCTAGTTTAAAAACGCAGTGGGTAATATGCAATTCGATTGAATTTAGCAGGGCTCTCACTAGGTTAAATTGCAGGAGCGAATTTGTATATTTATCAAATATTTTCTCCTTTCCACCTTATTTTTTTAATGAATTATGTTTACATAGATATTCTTTTAATTATCTTCTTCTTCGTTTTTTTTTTTCACATGTAGATTCAATTTGATGTTCTCCACATCATTTGAGCCACCGGATGGAATAATGCTAAGATAGTATTAGAATGGCAGGTTTGTATATTTAAAAATTAAGCTTATATATTTATATACTCGATGTTTTCAGTAATCCCTAATTTAACGTGCATAATTAAGGAAACATACATTCTGAGAATCCTAATCAACCTTAAATACATAATTTATTTAAAAGAAACACACAACCTCTAACACCAACGCAAATCCACTTGGCCGTTCTCATTCTTCTCTCTATTTGAAGGCAAATTTCCAACAGGTATACCATTAAAATTTTCAAGGACGACTCTCTCTGTTTCCAACAGTTTGTGTTTTCTAATTCTTGAGGCTAAAGAGTATGGTGTGATGAGTGTATAATGTATCTTAAGCTTCATATAACCATTGATAATTGCACATTATATTGTCCCATAGCTTCTTTAATAACACTATATGCAATATTATATCGTATTCATTAAACCAATTCAGCTCATGCAAAATGGGCATCTAAGTTTTAAAAGTCTTATGTTGTTAATCTCACATTTGTTTTAAAGTGTTCGTTGGATGCTTTTTACCTTTACTCTTATTTGTTGAAAAGTAATATTGTTGAGCCCTCCTAATTTGAAAACAACATCAAAACACCAAGTTGTACGTTATGCCCAATTATCGAAACCAAAAGTAAAAAATGTATCATCTCAATATTTTGAGAGGAGAAACAATTTTAGATTGATGTAAATATTGCCTATTGTACCCTAAATCTTTTATTTTCTTCACTTTCTTAATATGTACTCCACATATGTTTAATTTGAAATCATGAAACTAATTTAATCGACACTGACATTTTCCTCACTCCATTTTTCCTTAATTTAAAACATGTGTAATCAAGATCAAATTTGCGTAATGTATGTAAAGCTTCATATAAGAAAAAAATTAACCTGTCAAATCATATGCATAGTTTTTCTTTTTCACTTGATAGCGTATCATATTTTAAATATTCAGACATCGACTTTATCATTTTAAAGATTGATTTGGTAGGTTCATATGTATAGTTTTTATCAAAACAACTGTTACCTTTTGTTCATTTTGAATTTTTTTTGGTTAAATAAGAGAGTGGTGTTGCTTTTTTTTATATCATAATGTGATGAGTGCTACTGTTTTTTGTGTGTAGGAATGGCACCAGTTAAGAAAGTCCTTTCTAATGTCACACCTAATTTGGATGTGCGTGCTGCGTTTCTACTTCGTGTTGCCAGAAAATGGTCGGTTCCTTTGAGGAACAAATATGAATAGTATTGATGGACGAAGAGGAAATAAACTACATCTGTAATTGTATTACCTTTTTGTTACAACAAATCAGTTGTCAACAACTAAAAACTTAAAGTAGTTACAATAACCATATAAAAAGATTGAATTCAGTTCAATTCCATAAGATATTATTCAGCTTGACAAAGATTTTAGCTCAGTTTATATTGCTTAGTATAGAAGGCCTCCTCCCAGACCTCCACATATTCTATTTAGCATCAACATATGAAGAACATTCATATAAAAATTCATTTATATAGACTGGCTAGTTCAAACAGGTCAAAGAAAAAAAACTAAAGGAAAAAGGCCTCCAAAACATAAAGGCTGGATAGTCTAGGTAGTATCCAAAGAAACTAAAGAAAAAAGCCTTCAAATCATTGTAAACATATATTGATCCCATTCAATATCGGTGTGAACTCTTTCTTGAATTACCTTTTAAATTGCTTTGTAAGACTGCTTAATTTGTTTACAATGCTTTTTTTGGCTGCTTTCTTGAATTCTTTTTTCCCAGGGATACATTTCTTTACTACTTTCCTGTATGTCTTATTATTGCTGAAAGATAAGACCGCTTTTCGTTATTTGTTGAATATAATAAGATGTAGGAATAGTTTATCACTGTTGTATAGAAAAGATTCTCTCTTTCAAAGTTTAGGTGCAATAAAATATTTTCTTAAATGGTACATGCTATTCAGATTTAACCCATGGATGTAAGGAATTTCAAATTTTAATCTAATTGAGCACAATGTACCTTAAACTGTACTATTCTTCAACTCATGTTCTTACTTAATTATCAAATTTAGTTAATCTAGAATATCAAATTTGGATATAATTGAGCATTGATTCCAACCAAAATTTCAAAACTGAGTTTTAAGTTGTTCAAGTAAATTAAAAAAATTCAGAATTAACTTGAAATTTACTTGAAATTTGGTGGACACAACCTATACTTCATGGAGAAGACTCTCCTACTTAACTAAATTATCTAATGCAATTTTCAGAATAAATAAAAAAATCCATACATATAGAGGTGAAAACTTATGCACGCTAATATTATCATGTAATAATGTATGCTTATTATAGAAGTGTTCTATAAGCCATAGTGATCGAAACTCACAATTTTATATGTGAAAATAAACACATCTTAAAATCTGAAATTTGAATAGAAACTGTAAGGTATCACCTCTAATCTGGAGTGTCAAAATTTCAATCTAATACGATATAATATAAGCTGATATAACTGATACACACAATAAAGAACTTCAAGTTTGACATTACCTGTTTGTTTAACTATTATGTTTGACATTGAAAGTTTGTTCTCAATGATAATTTACCTTTTCGGTCATTGTAAACTAGCTATTATATAATTTGTTTATTATTGGCACTTAATTCATATGTAGGGTAAATGTATCCAAGCCACAATTCCGCTCCAGTTGATTCCACAGCTTGAAGATAAATTCGAAGAGGGAAAGTTGTATGCAGTAAAGAACTTTGAAGTAAAAGAAAATCAGGGCAATTGAAGGCCAACTCCCCATCCATATCGTTTTTTTTACTCCCCATCCATATCGTTTGTGCTTCACAGATAATACAAAAATTATTTCCCAAGACGATAAAAAGCATTGTACTTCCCGCAAAGCATCTATAAAATCACAGAGTTTTCTGATATTATTAATTGTCCCAATGTAGAGTAGCCTGATTTGTAGAGCTGTCAAACGGGCCAACCCGACCCAACCCGACACGACCCATAACGGGTTATGCTTTGTGTGGGTTGGGTCGGGCCAACCCGTTTAATGACGGGCCAAGATTTCTACAACCCTAACCCAACCCACCTAACCCGTGGGTTAAACGAGTTGGCCCACGGGCCAATGTAAAAAAATATATAAAACGATTTTTCAAAAAAAAATAATTACCCGAAAGTATATATTTATATTTGCGAGTAGTAACAAAGGAAATATAAGAAATCAAAATACTAAAAATTCAAAAATACGTGTTAAGTTTAATTAAAAATATTAAATACTAGTTATACGAGAATTTGAAAACTATAAGAGGCTATGCGACAAAAATAATCATTGTATAAAAATAAAGATTTACATAAAACTTTTGATTAATTATTTGCAAATAATGACTACTAATTGTTAAATATTGTATCGAACTTCACAAAAAATATATGTTTCAACATTTTATTTGAATATTTATTATAGAAATAAAAGAATAATACTTTTTTAATTGTAATTATAATAATATTGGTAGTAAAAGAACAATATTTTAGATAATAAAATTCAAAACTATATTTTTGTATTTTGGCCCGCGGGCCAACCCGTAACCTGGTGGGCCAACCCACTTAAA